GTACTAGTGCTGAGGGAACTTCGTGACAGATTTCCTTCACATGTGTGACATGAAGGAGTGACCCAATCAGAAGCACAGTTTATCATGCATTAAAAATACATTAAAGAAAAAAAAATAATTCAAAAGATAGATTTCCAGCTATTGCATGTCCATTGTAAGTTGATGCTGGCCCAGTGTTCAAGTCTCCCAAGGCCCAGTGTTCAAGTCTCCCAAGGCCTGCCATGCAGAAGTACCAGAGAAGTTATCTTGTAATAATTGTGATTCCTTAATATTATGTTATTAGGAACTTTACAACCCATTCTACTTTCCCATATTTTTACTTACTGCCATATTTGGGATAGTAGATATTTTCTGGGGGTGTAAGGAAAAATGAAAATTAAAATAGTGAAAATCATAGTAATAGAACTATTGTAAGTCACCTGGGTGAAATAATACAAAATAGTCTGCAGCCTTTGGGAGCTCTGTGTGCAGTCTGCTGCATCTGAAATTCCAGAGACATTTTGCCTAACCTGCTTTTCAAAGCCTTCCCTGGATGAGTTTCTCAGGTAATCATTTCCATTGCTAATCTACTTTTGTAGTTTGAAATAATTTCCTAATACCTACCTTAAATCTCTAAGTCCATTACATTTTGCCTGACATCCTCTGAACATGGAGAACAATTTATTCCTTTTCTCTTTGTTGAGACTTTTTTTTTTGAAGATAATTTTCCCTTTTTCCAAAACTTTTATTTAAGCTAACCAAGCCCAGTTCTTTCAATCTCTCCTCTCAGATCATATTTCTAGGTCTCTGATCATTCTTGAAGTTGAGATTATGACAGATATTACACTAAGACAAAGGAAAACTGACTGCTATACAAAAAACATTGTAAAGCTGGGTGGCAGAAGAGAAATGACTTTTATATGAAGATTGCCTACTTTTTTTTTCCCCCAAATATGTCTTTTTTTTTAATATCTTGTGACCAATGTGCTTCATATACTCCAGTACATGGAGCAGGCATTGCCATTCCTTAGTAATAAAAATTACTAGATTTGGGGGGACAAAAAAGCTGTTACGGAAGGTAACTTAGGACAGTAATGGAAAGGATAGCCTTGCCAAGATGGTGTCTTCAGGATAACTGATGTGTGTGATGTGTAGTTTGAAAGATGCTGTGTTCTTTACAACCAAATAAATTAACTCAGTTATTCCCACAAATCACACGTATAACACAAGAATGTTATTTAATGGTATTCTTCAGGGATATGTATCACATTGTTTTCTTCCAGAGAAGTTTTTAAAGTCAGAATGCACGTTATTTATCCATGTTACCTGAACAATCAGGTCTGTGCCTGCAGCTGTGGGTTCAATGGTATAGAAAGTTTTCACTCAGAAGTTAAGTGGACTGATTTCTGGCTATTGCATGTCCACTGTGACTTGAATGCTGGCCCAGTGTTCAAGTCTCCCAAGGCTTGCCATGCAGAAGTACCAGGAAGTTACACTCCCACTGCCATTTTTCTATTCTTTTTGTTTTTCCCCAGGAGAAAGACAGGAGAGAGTTAAGTGCTGAGAAGAGAAGGTAGATGGAAGCAAAGAAAATGAAAACCCTTTTTCTTGCTGAGGACTGAGCTGGTCTTTCAGATAGCTTTGGTGAGTATGCCACATTAAGCATATATAAAATTATGTTAAAAATGATGACCATACAATATAATGAAGTCCTAAATGTTTTCTTTTTGAATTGCTAAATCAGGCAATTTGTGATGTCAGTTATGCAGATGAATTGTTAAGAGGAAGGCCTCTTTAAGTACTCAGTGGGTTTTACATTTAATTTTTTTTTTTTAGTAGTATAGTTCATCATCTCTGGATAGATCATATGAGCCCTAAAAATGCAGTGTTATGTAACCTGTCTCTTCTTATATCAAAATCCCAGATAAAATTATTCAATTGTTTATGTCCTATATAAACATTTTTCATACATTCCCATTTTGTTTTTAAAAATATTTTTTACTTGGAAGATACTAGCTGCCAAATCGTAACAACAAAAGGGCCAAAACAGACTTGTGTATCCTGTTGAAACTTAGGAGAATATTATTACCATGTACTGGCAAATTCAGCACAGTGTTACTTGTGAGCTCCCAAGCCTGCATGGAAGAAGGTTCTCCTGCCACACAAATTTATAGGGGGGGGGCTTATCTTCTTCTGGTGTGTAGGTGCCTCCAGCACTCTGCACATAGAAGGATCACCTCACTGTTTATTTGCACAGAAGCAGATCGTTCTAAACAGTCTATGTACTTAAAATAGTATCTGCAGGAAGCAGTTACAGTGAAGCCTGCCAGATCTGTTTAATTTTCTGTCACTTAGTGCTGAGAAACGGTGAAAACAGTTCATGTATTCTCTAGAGCAAAGCTTTGACCAAAACGCTTTTGAGCACTACAGAAAAACAGCATCTACCTTGAAAAGTTCTGCTTTTTTATCCCCCAGCTGCAGAAAACAAGGCTGAGAAAAGCAGCAGCCTCAATGTTCATTTGGGTCGAACCGCAGCATGTCCAGCGGTGTTACAATGGTAACCTTTTGTGTGTATGAACACAAGGATTTTTACATTCTCAGACTCTGGAACCACTGTAAAACTTTTGACTCTGTGGTGCAAAGTTGTTATTAACCTGTCTGGGTACCCAAAAAAGTGGGAGTAAGAGGCCTATGAGAAAAGTGCCTTAAATCACCCCTGCTTTGAAGAAATCAGTATGTCATAATTGGTACCTGTTCTTGCTCTTTCCAAGCTCTCATGACTGCAGAGCTGCCATGTCACAAAGCCAAATGCAAAGTGCTCCCTCATTAGTGTCTGACACTGTCATCAAAAGTAGATCTTTTCAGGTGTTTGACAACTCTCTAACTTTTAAACTGTGCCTGGAGTTACAGTATCCTGTACTATGGACAAAGCTTAACTGGGCCTAGCACTTTTTTTCTTCTTGGAAAACTCAGGGTAAAGTAGGGCAATATCCATTCTGTGGCGCCTCAAATATATCCCAGCTGTGTTCTGATTCCATCTCGGGATGAGGCCAAAGATCCATTTCCGTAAGCAGGTTTCCAAAGAAAGGAAATCGCGACATGCCAGCGAGAAGGGAGACACCAGCTGCTCCCACAGGATCTCTGTACTGTACGGCGGAGAGCACGTGCCTGGCTGTGGACTATACATAGCTACAGTGACTACACAGGCTTAATATCCACAGCAGGAATAAAACAGCAAGTGATAGCTGAATAAAAAAGTACTTTTAATTGCCAGTAATCTTGTTCCTGGTGTTGCCACTCCATAACTAAAAATATCTGTAACTTAGCTGGGATATCACCTTAAGATTCCCACAGAAGATACCTGTGACATTGCCGTAACCTTGAAGTCATCCCTGGACAAGGTGGTGGTTCACTGGCTCCTCTCTTAACTAGTGCTTGGCTTCCTAATTGCCTTATTAAACTAAGTCAACATACTTCAACACCCAATGATGGAGTCACCTACAGTAATCATTATTACACAGCACTCCATTGCACAGCCTCTCCATCATGAGTAAACCTCAGAATTTGTGCACCATTTTTCTCCTCAGTCTTATAGCCAAATTAAAATGTGTCTGAACTCCATAAATGCCAGAAATGACTCTTGTTACAGATTTTGTATTGAAGGCATTTAGGTTATTCATAGATAAACAGCAACGCAAACCTCCTTAATGGGAATAAAAAGGAAGTTGTCAAGAGAGAAGCTGTCTAGCTATCAAGAGAGAAGCTGTCTAGCTATAAGCAAAACGTCTGCTCCCAGTTCTTTGAGCACATAACCCCTGGCAGGACGTGTCCCATGTGTAACTCAAGGCTGCGGGGCCAAACAGATCAGAGCAGCTGGCGGTCACTTTGACCTGAGTCAGAAACTACAGAGCAAACCAGGATCAAAGTGGATCAGCAGAGAACACTAGGAAATTTTTTAAAACTGCCCGTGCTATTTGATATTGCATAGGGTGTGCTTACATAGAGGATATTCAGAGTGTGTATTACACTTTATAAATACTCTCATTGGCACCAAACTTGCTTATCGTCAAAAAATATTGCGACAAAAATTATTTTTTTTTTGTTTTGCATTTTAAAATGTATTTTGAGGTCTGGATTTCAAAGCCTGTGTGTGATTCTGAAGAGCTGTTCCAGACAAGGAAGCTGGAAAGGACACACCTAATGGCTGAAAAACGTTTGAAAACGTTTTTCCCTCTGCCTTGGGCCAGATGGGCTTGTTAGCGAATTGACACGGTGAAAGCTGCAGGCGTTCGCTTTGTTGGAATTGGATGTGGTATCAGAAAGTGGGTTTTTTTTAAGCATTTTTGTAAAGGAAACCAGAGGAGCGAAGCGTTCGGTTTGTCCCGGCACCTGCTCGTGCCTGAGCCCGGCCGGGCCGGGGGGAGGCGCCGGGCGGCAGCGCGACCCCGGCCGGGCCGCCATGGCCGC